GGCACTGGGATATGGAGGCTATCTGTAACCAGGCTATGATTGTGAGGGCATTATTCCATGTCTTATACACAAGCCTTTAATTAGCAATGAACAATGCAAGTGCAACCATGGCAGAACTATCATGAGACATTTTCCATATTTATGGGGGTGTGGGTCTCTTTAATAGTGAAGGGGAGAGAATTACTATTATTTACCTTTTGACTTTGAAACTTTTACCATTATCTGATTAGCTACAAAATTAAATAGATATCTGAATGTAAAGATACATTGTGTATTTTATCTTGCCTGTGGCATCTTAAAATTGGTTAAAAAAAAAACTTCCTTTTTTGGGAAGCTTTAAAGACCTCCAGAATGCATGTAGTTTAAAAATAACTGAAAGGAAATGCACCTCGTGAGGAGATATGCTTGAGTTGTTAACCAGCACAGCATCTCCAGTACTGAAATTATTTACTTCAGTAATGTGAGACAAATGAGTGAAATTATTTCAACAATGTAAGTTTAGATTCCTTGGTTATTCTGTCTATTCTGGAAGCAAACTAATTGAGAACTGCCAGTACATTCAACCCTGATTCTATATCCAGTGCATATGTTGTGTTTTTCTAATTACACAAATCTACCTGACATGAGCCTTTAAACAGAGAACACTTGCTTCAGTGAAGTTTGATTACAAGATGATGTCTAATACATCAGTGTTTGCAAAAGATTGCAATGTTTTATGCAAGTTACCAACAAAAGTGAAATCATTCAAATAAAGCCACTTTTAATTGTATGTTGCCTCTGGTTCAATATTTTCATTTTGACACATTGAAAACAGTTGCTGTGCTTTGTGAGTGGAATTGATATGATTGTTTTATAACTTTGGTACTTAATATTATGATCGTATTTTCAATAATTGAGAACTTTGTTAGCTTGGTCTTTCTCAGTTGAAAATAACAGGCCGTGTCCAAATCTACCTTCAGTGATACGCTTGTAAACATCTGGCAGTTGGTTTGTTTCAACTGGGAATTTAAGACCAGGCAATTGATGATTATCAGCAATTATGGTTTCATTGGTATATGCAGGAGTACTGAGAGAAAGAAGAAATAAATTGGCTAAGCATGCCTCAGTCACCAATCTCCTTATAGATATTCTGGTAATGCAATTACATTTGATGTGAATTGTTGTTCATGTGCCTTAATGAAAGTATGTATTCAGAACAGCAGTTCATTGGCATAAGCAATTAACTTCTCATTGAGATAGTATACTCTTTCAAAAATTCCTAGACTGTCAAAGATGACACCATAATATTTAAACTAAAATAAAAATGTGAAAAACTGGAATAAAGATACAGTTCTGGAATGGCATAGTGCTTGGTGACCCCATCCAGATCCTAACTCAAGTGCATTTTGTAGTTTGAATTTGATTTTCAAGATTGTCCCATTTCTAGAATGATGTTATTGAAAAATAAACCAATTTGCTTCAAAGCTACATTTGTAATTATTTTTTGCTCTGAAAGTACGGTTTTAGTGATCTCAGATGAGAGATTTTCTCATGTGTAACATGCCATTTTTCAGATTTGTCATCAGTTGAGGCCCGATATGTCTGTGTAGAGGATACAAAAGACCTTATGCCTTTTTTTTGAAGATAAACAGGTGTGTTTTTCCTCAATGATCTAACAGTATTCATTTGGCTAATACCAACAAAACTAAATAGAGCAATGGTATTTTGATGCTCATGGGAACATAGGAATTAGGAGAGGGAGTAGGCAATTCAGCCTTTGTGGCCGCTCTGCCATTTAACATGAGCATGGCTGATCTTATCCTGGTCTCAACATCACTTTCCTGCCTGCTCCCCATAGCCCTTTATCCTGCTTTTCATCAGAAATATACCTATTCCTTTCTTGAATTTGTTGATTGATTCTGCCTTCAACTGCACTCTGGGGCAGAGTTCCACAGATCACAATCCTCTGAGAGAAGTAATTTCTCCACCTCTCAGTTTTGAACTGACCTCCTCTCTCTCTATATCTATGATAAAGAAGTAAAGAAGATATTGCATGGTAATTTTATTATTGTGATTTCCACAGGGAGATTCTGTCAAGCATGCCTAGCCAAATTCATTCTTGCTTTCATCATTATTTCAGTGTACACTGACAAAACTGTAGTTACTGATATAACTTATTGCTCTTAGTTTCCCCGTTGGTTTTAGAGATGCTGACTTCAAATTGGAAGAAATCTGGTTTATGCACTCGGATAGCAAGAACTGCAGATGCTCGAGTCAGAGACAACACAGCACGGAGCTGGAGGAACACAGCAGGCCAAGGCAGCATCAGAAGAGCAGGAAAGTTGACGTTTTGGGTCGGGACCCTTCTTCAGATGCTTCCTGGCCTGTTGTGTTCCTCCAGCTCCACACTGTTATCTCTGGTTTATGCACTTGCTATTTTCTTCAAGAATGTTGTGTGTGTGAACGATGACACAAGATGTAAGTAGAAACCAAGAGTGAGATTGACAATTTAAAAATAACAGAAACAAAACTTTAAATCTACAGACATAACAATAGCTTTGGGATGTAGCCAGAGTTACCTTTCTTGTGTATATTCTAATATTTCTGTCTTTTGAGCAGCAATCTAATTCCCATTTTAATGTACTTTCTTGACTTTGGTTTCACAAGTTCCCTTTTTTCTAAACTATCCATTAATTGTTTTAGTTTACTTTGGGTTTTTTTTGTTCATTAATAAGTACTGATTGTCTCCGGAGACAATCTTAACTTCTCAGAATTGAAGTGTCCAAGAAGCCTTCTCAACCTGTTGGCACAATTGGAAAAGCTCAAACCTTTCAATATGTCTTCAGAACATCCAAACAAATCTGCACTGATCAATTTCCATTTCTTCCATCCTTTACAATGAGATGACAAAACTACGCAATGCTCTGACTTCACCCTAATTGAGATCTTGTGAAAGTTCAATATTATCTACTTAATTTTAAATTTTATGCCTTCAGGTTTAATGCCAAGGCTTCTGTTATTTCTTTCATTACATTCGCATTTAAAGTGTGCCAGTGAGCTGAAGAAGGGTCTAGGCCCGAAATGTCAGCCTTCCTGCTCCTCTGATTCTGCTTGGCCTGCTGTGTTCATCCAGCTCTACACCTCGTTCTTCCAAAATATATTCCTGATTTTTGCTTTGAGCTGCCATCTATGTACTTGTTAAGCTCATCTGACTGCTTTCAATTTTCGTGGGGTATCAGTTGTAGTTTGGCTGATAGTGCACTCACCTCTGAACCGCCTGGTTTCAGGTTCAAGTCCCAATTCAGAGACTTGAGTATGAAAATCAAAGCCAACACCTGACTGCAGTACAATTCCAAAGCACCATTGGCTGTGCTGGCTCTTGGATAAAATGTTAAATTGAGGTGCGCTCTGGCTGTTTGGATGATCTCAGTGCAGTATTTTAAAGAATAACGGTAGAGTTATTCCTGGCATTCTCCCTAATGTTTATACCTCAGTCAGTATGGCAAATAGATTATCTGGTCATTATACTCATGTTATACAGGAAAACAAAACTTTCTCAACTGTCTTTGCCAAGTTTTGACAGTGTGATAAATGGGCCTGAAAGGGTTACAATTGTAGGTGTGGTGACATTTTGTTTTGTATGTATTTACATTGCCACCTATAACGAAAGCAGATCTTTATTTTGCTGTTTGTGAAAGCTTGCTTGCGGCTGGAAAATTGGATGTGGTGTTGACCTGCATTAAAACAGTGACTGAACGTTTAATTCCTTTGTATGGGACATCCTGACGCCAGGCAAGGCGCTGCAGCGTGTTCTCCTTTCATTCTTTCATCTGTGGGTGTTGAATCTGCCTGTTTAAGAAGTTTTCAGATAAAGTGGATGATCTTTGTAAGTAATCCTTGCTTATGTAAACCCTGATTATCTGCTGGTGAGTGACATTTTTAAATTTTAAAAAATTGCTGTATTAGGCAGGACAGAATTAAGCAATGATCAAGTTATACTCGAGAGCCGCCTTAGTTTTCTTGATTTGCTGTCTTGATTAGTTTTTTGAAGTAGCGGAGACCGTCCTGTAGCACAGCTGCTTCTTCCCAAAAGTCACATCTGGAAACCCTCAACGTGAGCAGCCGCCGTACGTGAGCATGGAGTGCGCCTTTTAGAGCCGCGTCCAATGGATAGCAGAAGGCGTGATTGGAGTGTTTTGTTTTGTCGCGACGATCGACGAGTCGCGCCTGGGTGGGACGGTCACGTGGCGCGGGTGCACTGTGACAGCGCGAGAGGGGGGGGCGGTGGCGGGCGGTGCGCAGGCGCGGCTCCGACTCCACCCTCCCAACATGGCGCAGGTGCAGGCCCGTTTTTACACCGAGGACAGGAGGTAAGTAAGTGCGGAGCCCGGCATTAACCGGGGCCCCGAGTGCCGCCTACAGCCCGGCCTCCCGGGGCCGAGTCCTATCCACGGTGCTGGTCCATTTCCACCACCACCCCCCACGTCTACAGTTCAGTAGAACCGGTCTTTACAGGCTCTTTCTCTTCTCGCACATGTTTTGTTTTTGCGAGGGTTTGTGTTCAACTGAACGGGGCAGCAACATCAGATATTGCTGGGGGGGGGGAAACGCAGCACGTCCGGCAGCATCTGTGGAGTGGAGAGGACGCAGAGTTAGTGTTTCAGGACCAGCTACCGGCCCCGACCCAACTCTCAGCCCGGTCTCACTCCCAGGTGTGAGGGATGAGGCACGGATAGGCAGGGGGGTTGGTCTGAACAGTGCACCCCCTCCCCTCCTCCGGGCCCCGCGTCTGAAGGAGTTGTTTTGAAATAAACCTGTTTTAATTGGCAAACGCAGTATATGGCGCTCGGGGCCCACTTCGGAGCTTTCTCCCCGCAGATGCTGCCAGACCTGCCGAGTTCGTCAGCGACTTCTGTTTTTGCTTCAGACCTCCAGCATCCACCTTTTCTTTGTTTTGTTTGTCCTGGTTAGGATCTCCTCAGCCAGCCGACACACTACACTTTGAGCCGTTATCTGGGGATCTCTGATCCGTTGCTAGATCTCCCGCGACCTTGTTTAAAAACCCAAGCGCATGGTAAACTATACCTTGAGTGATGCCCATAAGGCATGTAGTCTTTTACCACTTAATCGAAGTTATCACCCACATTCCCTTCTTGATGAACTCTTTGACTCAAAATTCTGGGAAGATGCCAGTTGGAAGTTGAATACTATGATATGGGATGGGATGGAATGAGGTGGCAATTGTAAAGTGTTAGAGAGGAAAGAACAGAACCAATAACTTGCATGTTAGCATTAACTTAACTGCTCTCCTATTACTAACTTCTTCATGTTAACTTTGTCATTTTAATCTCCACGGACAGATTTTCTCCTTGCAGCCTCTTCTGCCTTATTTACTGTTTACTCTCCACAGCTTCACCTTTACATATCTGCTAAATTGTTAGGTTGTTGAATGTTGCTGCTATTCAGTCTAAGGAGATTTTCTGATGTGCATTAGTGTAAGTAAAGACTGTTGAGAGCTAAGGCAATTCCTCCCACCCCAGCATAGGTTTAAATAGAGTAATTTCAGTGCTGCCATGTGAAAATTCCATAATGGAAAGCATTAAGAGCAAGTCATAGAATCCCTACAGTGTGGAAGCAGGCCATTTGGCTCATCAAGTTCACACTGATTGTCCAAAGAGCAACTCATCGAGACCCAACCTCCCCACACTTTCCTATTAACCCTGTATCTCCCATAGCTAATTCATCTACACACCCCTGGACACTAATGTGGAAATTTAGCATGGCTAGTCCACCTAACCTGCATATCTTCAGATGATGGGAGGAAACCAGAGCTCCCAGAGGAAAATCACACAGACATAAGAACATGCAAACTTCACGCAGACAGTTGCCAGAGGGTGGAATCGAATCCAAGTCCCTAGTGCTGTGAGGCTGCAGTGCTAGCCACTGTGCAGCCTCTATGTTCAACTTATTATCTAAATTACTTCACAGCACGTGCTGCTACCGGACAGTGTGATCAGCATCATGAATTCTGCCCAAATTTCATCTCAGTCCACAGTCCTTCTGAAATGAGATCATTTATCAATTAAAGCATTTGTAAAGAAATCATAAAATTAAGAGTGTTTATAGTGGGATTGCTTCATTGTACGTGACCTTATTAAATTTTTCTGCTATAACAATCTTGGAAGTGTGATCATTGATACTTTTGAGAACATAAGAAGTAGGAGCATGAGTAGATCACATGCATCACTCAGCCTGCTCGACCATTCCGTACAATTATAGCTGACCTTCAGCTTCAGTGCCACTCCACCCACTGCAATGCATATTTATTCCTTGATTCCCTGACACCAGGAATCTGTCACCATCTCAAGCTAAACTATACATAACAATGGAGTATCTCCTTTTTGAATGAAGAATTCCAATAATTTATTACCCTTTGAGTGAAGGACCTTCTCATCTCAGATCTAGATGATTGACCTGTGATTCCCAACCCCTGCCACGCTAGTTTAAACCCTCCCGAGTGACAGTAGCAAATCTCCCTGCTAGGATATTGATGTTCAGTCGATATCCGGTTAGGATGCAACCTGTCCTCCTTGTACAGGTCCCTCCTACCTTGGGAGAGATCCCAATGATCCAGATATCTGATGAACACTCCAACACCGTCTCTTTTGCCATGCATTCAACTGGCCCCACTAGCACATGACACAGGGAGTAATCTCGAGATTACAAGCCTAGAGGTCCTGTTTTGCAATTTTGTACCTAACTCCCTAAATTCCCTTTCAGGCCCTCATACCTGTTTCTGTCTATGAGTTGGTTTGAATAGGAACCATGATCTCTGGTTGCTCACCCTCTTCTTTCACAATATCACACGTCTATTCGGAGACATCCTTGACCTTGGCATCAGGAAGGCAACACACCATCCTGGAGTCTTGCTTGTGATGACAGAAATACCTAACTGTGTCCCAACTATAAAGTTAAATGATTCCTCTAGCACATTTACTTATTTACCTTTATCTACCTGACTATTTAGGACTTCCACCTGGTGCTGGTGATTCTTAACATGTCAAGCTTATTCTCAGTTGAGATCACTTCAAATTAATACAATAGTCAAATACAGCAGATGTTGAATATCATTTGTACTTCTGTTAAATCCCTCTTCTCTCTGTCATAGTAAAAGTGTCTGCTAGATATTACACTTGACCTCTTTGCACGTGTGTTGTTTTTTCAATTGTAAAAAGTGAGATTACAGTTTCCTTTGAGTAAAATTTTAGTTCAACAATAAATTTATGGTTTTCAATAAGTTAACATCGTGAAATTTAATTTTAATATGCAGCAGACTGATTCATGGATTTGTGTATGGCAGTCTGCAATCTGGCTCCATAATCTGCGTGATTTTAAAACTGAATATATTCAGCTGGCACAAACTACTAAGTATTTGCTAATCGAAGGAAGATAGAAATAAAAATATATCAAAAATCTTCAGCTTTCTACTAACGTATGTAAAGGCTAAAACTGAAATGCAAATATCTCGTTTTAGAATGTTCAAATGTCACTGATGACTGTAACCAAAAATATCATGTTGCAGTGATGCTAGTCTGTCTTTGCCGTTGAAATATTTACAAAATGAGAATCAGAAAACAATTTGCAATATTTAGCTCCTTATATAATTTTATTTAAAAATTCTCCTCTTATTTGTGACCTTATTTTGTAAAGTGGTTACAGTTGTGCAACTATCTGGTAATGATTAGTTAATTGGTCACATTAGTTAATCTAAATGCTACAAAGCTTACTGTTCAGTGCTGATTTGAGTGAAGTTCAGAGAACGCTATTGGAAGAAAAGTTTTCAATTTGCAGGGAACAAGGGAGCTATTTCATTTGGACAGCAACCTGGGAAACTGTACAATTTGGTTAGGGCTTTGGGCTAAAAGGAGAGGATTGGGGGGTAGTTGGGTGAAGTGATTAAGAAATTAAAGAAAAAAGTCAAGGTGAATGATTGGTGTAGCAATTTGGGTAGAGATGAACTGAGCAGGGCAGGAAGGAATAGAGTTTAACAGTAATAAGGCATTATTGAGTTATATGCACATAATAACAATCAAAGAAAAGATCGGTGAGTTTTGAGCACAAAGATAAATGGTTTAGGTATATTTCAAAAGGATTGGAAAAATGGAAAAGGAGGTGGTGTAGCTCTAGTACTAGCAAATAGTGATATACATTGGTGACAAAATGAGATTACAGAAGATCAGGAAATAGAATTAGTTATAGGTGGAGATTAGGAGTAACAAGTCTGAAAACACTGGTGGGAGTAGTGTTTTATTACCTATTAGTATTCATATCAATTAAGCAAGAAATAATTAGAACTTGTAGACTGGACAAATCAGAGTGGCAAAGATTGTCTGCAAGATAAGTTTATAGAATGCTTTCAACATTTCCTGGAACAAATTGTGGTGGACCAAATCGATAAAACTACTTGATTTTACAATGATACATGGTTAATTAGCCGTCTCATAGTAAAAGCTCCTCTGAAAATGATTATACTAAGTTTGTAAATGGCCCGTGCCTGTCCCAAACAAAAATATTTAACTGAAGGAAAACCAGTTGCCTTAGTGTGAGGCATGATCTGATTATGGCTGAATGTATGGTTGCTGAATGTCTTGAATTCTTTCTTTAAATGTTCCCACTGCTTTTGTTTTTATGTGGATATACTGGAGAAGCCGGGGCTTTTCTCGTTAGAGCATATAAGATTCAGGAGATTTGTTATAACTGTTTAAAATTTAGAAGCATTCAGATTGAACAAATAAATAAGCCAGTTTCCAGTGGCCAAAGGTGTAGATTTAAGATCATTGGCAATAAAACCATAGCTTATATAATGAAAAAACTTCTAATGCACCAAGTGATTAGAATTTCAAATGTACTGCTACATGAAGTGTCCGAAACAGATTGAGAAGGGAAAAGGGAATTTGGATAGTTGGTTGGAGAAAAAAATGTTCCAAGTTCTGGTTAAAGAGCTAGGGGAGTGTATCAAAGTGGACTGCTGTTTGCAATGGTCAGTGCAAATCGAATAGCCTCCTGTACTGTGCTGTTTATAATCTATAAAACGGCTTCACGTGAGGAAAAGAGGAAGGTTAAGTAGACAATGGCATATTCCTTTTGCTTCTAGTTTCTGACTTATAAAAAAATGTTTGTATAAACATTCAGGAATTTTGTCTTGCCTGCAGTTTGTACATGATACTGGGGCACAAAGTAACAAAGCTTTTGACAATATCGAAACAAGCTGTCTTTATAACATCAAAAAATGTGTTTCTGTATATAGGTATGAAGTAGATGACACACCATTCTCTGTTCCTGCTGCAGCCGAAGTTAATGACCTCAGTAAAGTCATCAATAAGCTACTAGAAGCAAAACATGGTGAGTTAATGCCATCTTAAGTTTGAGTATACCAGACGATTGATCCTGTTGATATTTGCCAGGTGGTACTTATTGCGATCTGTAAAGTTATGATTTCTGTTTCATGAAATAAGTCTTCTAGCTTCTTTGCAGATTTAAATCTAACCCAAGTCTGTCATTTATGGGTCCTTGTGATGAAGTTCCTGGACCTGGGCCCACAGCACTATCAGTATAATGGCAGTCTTTGCAATGCTGTAATCTGAAAGATTAATTCAGTAGCTGGTGCTCTTCTAAAGTTAGCATTGTGTGAAGGAAGCTTTATACTGTATTTTGCCTCACGAGAACTAACTGATTCGCTGATTTTCAAAGGCAGTATGTAGAAACTGTTCATATTTCCATCACTTATCACCCTACCTGGTCTTCAGTCCTCAAACATTGATGCAATGTGCTTGATCCCAGGTTTAGAGCTAAAGCGCAATTGTAATTTATGATCAGTAATCTGAATGTTCCATGCCTTGTTTAGGTTAGGGGAGGAGGGTGCACAGTATGCATTTTTTTTGTGCTATGCAGTAAAGTGAGTGAGAGATTGTCAAGTCTTTTCCTTGTTGTTGCAGCTAATCACAAACATGCAGACTTTGATTTCCTCATTAAGGGCCAGTTTTTACGACTGGCACTGGGTAAACATATGGAACTGGAAAACATTTCAACGGTAAGTCACCATAAGCCAGTTTTAGTGAAAATTTAAGCATCATTCTCAATCTCTCGGACTAGGAGAATACAACATTGTTTTAAGTTCATGAGTGAGTTTTTATTTCTGAAAATGGCAGAAAAACTAGTTGGTCAGCATCCAAAATGAAGAAAAATCATTAATGTTTTTTGTGTTTTATCCCACATTAGGAAGAAGTAGTTGAGATTGAATATGTAGAACGGTACAGTGCCCCTCAGCCAGAAGAGTGCTTGTTTCACGATGATTGGGTCAGTGCAGTAGAGGCACAGGGAGAATGGTAAGAACAGTATTGATCAAAGCTATTTTACACTGGGACCCATGAAAATGGAAACTTGGGCTGGAAAAATCTATTGCTGAAAATTTAAAAAGCATTGTTGTAAAGGTTGAGACCCCCAGATTGCTCATTTGCCACTGGGGCTTAAAACTTTGTGGAACAGCTTGGTTACTCGTCGTTTCATTTTTCAAACCTCTTAATGTTACTACTCCAGTTCAGTGTGGTTCGAACAACGAATGGTCTTTGATACAATTGCTTCATAAATCCTAAGTTAATAGACTTGTTTAACAGCAACAATGGGGAAACTCACCTTTTTTAATAGATTCAATTGATAGGTTGTACCAGTTGTCCTAACTCCTATTGGTTGAAAGTTATCCAGTGTTGAAATAATGTTCTTTGGTGATGAATCCCCACCTTTTGCCTGCCCCCTTTTACATTGCTGCATTCTAGAAAATCCTAGACCCTGTTCTTTAAAAGGGTACCATATTTGTAAGTGTTTGAGATGAGAGACGTAACCTGTTTTGATTATATTTAGCATGACAAAATAATGCATGTCAACACCATTCAATATTCCACTGTATGTTTACAGGCAAGCGTGTTTATCAAGTGAAATTAAAAACAGAAAATGTTGTATAAATACTGGCAGGTTTGGCAGCATATGTGGTGAAACAGAGCCCCATGTCACTTCTGAGATGTTAACTGTTTTTCTCTTTCCATAGAAATTGTCAGATCTGCTGGGTGTTTTCAACATGTTCTGTTTTTATTTCAGATCCCAGAATCTACAGTACACTGCTTTTATACATTATTATCAAGCAGGAGTGCTTGACAAGTGTCCTTTGGCATTCTTTAATATAAAAGCCTGTGGAGGCTAAGTCACTGAATATATTCAAGAAGGAGATTGCTTGATGCTTTAAAATCTAAGCATTTATCAATGTGGGGAGAAAATGCAAATATGGCATTGAGATAGAGTATCAACCTTGATCATATTGAACGGCAGAGCAGACTCGGGCTAAACAGCTTACCGTTCTTAAGTTTCTTTCATCAGCTCATTGCTCAGCTTTGAGTTATACAATAACATTCAAAAAATATGCTTATTTTATACTTTTTAGGATTCTCACAGGATCATATGATAAAGTTGCTCACATTTGGACCTTAGATGGTCAACCACTCATGGCCCTTCCGGGACACACTGAAGTAGTCAAAGATGTAGCATGGATCAAGAAAGGTAAATGTTCAAATAGTCTTAAGTCAAAATAGTCACAGCCACACATTGGCCCCATGAGGTGTACTTTCAAGGATTCCAGATCTGCGGATTGTATTATCCTTAAGGCACATTCAGTAAATTTCACAATGTTTTTTGAAATTTTGGGGTATTATGTTTGTGTGCTGGGAGTCTTGTGTGGCAATAATGGGTATTGAAGCACAGATGAGAAGATATAAACTGGTTTATTGTTTGAATGCACTGCTGGTTGTTGGTTAATGAAAGTTTTGTCAATTCTGCCTGATTTGGCAATATGTTTTGTAGTGAAACAGACTGTGTAACCTTGCAGTTAACCACTTGATTGTATCTGAACTGTCATTCATGCATAATCTTGGGTGATATTTGATATAATTTATCAAATGTGTTATCACCTTTGTATTGGAATTAGTTTTGTGGTTGTAATTATAATAAAGTTGGTAGTGTTCACTTTCACTGCTTTGTAAAACTGACAACAACCTCTGCATCCACGTGAGAGTAAATGTGTGAAATCAGAAGTTGTTGTAAGTGATTCCGGCCTGTACCATATGGTGTGTTGTGAAATCTTTCTGAATGGAAACTTTAGAAATTATTGAATTGGCTGTGATCTTTCATTTTAATTCTGATATTTTTGGAAAAAAAATCAAAAAGCTACGTCTTGTTGGATCATGTAACTGTATTTAACAGCATGCTAAGTAATTACAGCTGTATAATGACTGGCACTGTTAAACTAATTTTGTATTTGTGCAAAATAACATTTCTGTATTCCATGATACACATTCCATACCTTTACCAATTTGTTTTAAAATTGATGTTTCAGATTTCAACTTAATCCCCTCTTATGTATCAATCTTTATTTTTAAATTTGTGTAAAATTATATAACAGGAATGGTAAGATTTACTTAATACTTTCTGGTTTGTTGTCTGTGAACACTCTTCATATTAATCAGCTATTTAGCTTGTTTAATGACAGTTAATGCTTAAAGTTTTAGTTAACTTTCTTTGAGGTCAGTAGCAAGCTTTGTGAGGACCACAAATAGGCAGTTGTGAAGCACATATATCAGGAAATGGCCTCAGTTGATTGTTTGAGTAAAAAGATCAACCAGAATCTTGGCTTCAGTTGTTTGAATTTGAATGTAATTTAAAATAAAATTAAACCAAAACATTTAGAGATTAGGAAAAAAAATGTATAAATGATCTGTTTTCTCTCTGAATTAGAGTTTGGGTGATAATTGAAGTTAAAATGCACTACTTTTAGGCATGGTAGTATTCCTTTCTTCTCTGCTTACTTAGTTTTACCTTTACGCTCACTTAAGCCTTGATCAAATGTGTTTGTACTTTCATGATCAGTGTATTTGGACTATAAATGTGATGTCTGGTTTTTATTTAACTAAATTCTGTTTTCTGTTAGTTGGTCACTGCAACTTGTTGCTCAGTGCCTCTCAAGATCAGACTATTATCTTGTGGGAATGGAACTCGGAAAAGAACAAAGTGAGAGCATTGCACTCCTGTCGAGGACATGCTGCAAGTGTGGAGTCAATTGCTGTGGATAACACGAAAACCAAAGTGAGTTTCTTAATTGTGAGTTTTTATCTGTTTGCATAAGTGACTTTGGTGCATATCTACCTCAATTTGTGAACAATGTTTTTATCTGATAGATTAGATAATCCTATTCAAGTTACAATAAAAGCCCAGCAGATAGGAAACAGCAAATAAGTCAGAAGTAGATATATACATTTCCTTTCTTGTGCATTGCAAAAATCCAAAAAAATTCCAGTATAACTATTGTAGTGTTTTCTGTTGTCTAAAATTTATTTTCTGCCTATAGTAGTTACCAATGATAATTCAGGTGTCTGCTCTTACACTTTTAGCAGTATTGTTCTGGCTAGCCTGTTAGGAGATAAGCAAGAGTCCTTAAAATTGAACTTTTATGATTGAGGCAATCGTTTTGTTTCTTTACTAGTCTTGATCGTAAAGAGCATGTAAATTGTGAAGCTGCAACTATGATGTGTTGCAGGATAAAAGATATATAGCTGTTCCTGCTGTGACGGGATATTAAGCGCATCGCTACTAAAATTCTTCCCATGATGAATACGGTTTCACCAAAAAAAGAGTACCAAAAGCATTATTGGAAAAATGAATTCTAGGAAGCTAGAGAGGAGATTGCAGAGCCTTTGGCTTTGATCTTTATGTCGTCATTGTCTTCAGGAATAGTGCCAGAAGACTGGAGACTAGCAAATGTTGTCCCCTTGTTCAAGAAGGGGAGTAGAGACAACCCTGGTAATTATAGACCAGTGAGCCTTACTTCGGTTGTGGGTAAAGTGTTGGAAAGGATTATAAGAGATAGGATTTATAATCATCTAGAAAGGAATAATTTGATTAGGGATAGTCAACACGGTTTTGTGAAGGGTAGGTCGTGCCTCACAAACCTTATTGAGTTCTTTGAGAAGGTGACCAAACAGATGGATGAGGGTAAAGCGGTTGATGTGGTGTATATGGATTTCAGTAAAGCGTTTGATAAGGTTCCCCATGGTAGGCTATTGCAGAAAATACGGAGGCATGGGATTGAGGGTGATTTAGCGGTTTGGATCAGAAATTGGCTAGCTGTAAGAAGACAGAGGGTGGTGGTTGATGGGAAATGTTCATCCTGGAGTTCAGTTACTAGTGGTGTACCTCAAGGATCTGTTTTGGGGCCACTGCTGTTTGTCATTTTTATAAATGACCTGGATGAGGGCGTAGAAGGATGGGTTAGTAAATTTGCGGATGACACCAAAGTCGGTGGAGTTGTGGATAGTGCGGAAGGATGTTGCAGGTTACAGAGGGACATAGATAAGCTGCAGAGCTGGGCTGAGAGGTGGCAAATGGAGTTTAATGCAGAAAAGTGTGAGGTGATTCACTTTGGAAGGAGTAACAGGAATACAGAGTACTGGGCTAATGGTAAGATTCTTGGTAGTGTGGATGAGCAGAAAGATCTCGGTGTCCATGTGCATAGATCACTGAAAGTTGCCACCCAGGTTGATAGCGTTGTTAAGAAGGCGTACAGTATGTTAGGTTTTATTGGTAGAGGGATTGAGTTTCGGAGCCATGAGGTCATGTTGCAGCTGTACAAAACTCTGGTGCGGCCGCACTTGGAGTATTGCGTACAGTTCTGGTCACCGCATTATAGGAAGGATGTGGAAGCATTGGAAAGGGTGCAGAGGAGATTTACCAGGATGTTGCCTGGTATGGAGGGAAGGTCTTATGAGGAAAGGCTGAGGGTCTTGAGGCTGTTTTCGTTAGAGAGAAGAAGGTTAAGAGGTGACTTGATAGAGACATACAAGATGATCAGAGGATTAGATAGGGTGGACAGTGGGAGCCTTTTTCCTCGGATGGTGATGGCTAGCACGAGGGGACATAGCTTTAAATTGAGGGGTGATAGATATAGGACAGATGTCAGAGGTAGGTTCTTTACTCAGAGTAGTAAGGGCGTGGAATGCCCTGCCTGCAAAAATAGTAGACTCGCCAACTTTAAGGGCATTTAAATAGTCATTGGATAAACATATGGATGATAATGGAATAGTTTAGGTTAGATGGGCTTCAGATTGGTTTCACAGGTCGGCGCAACATCGAGGGCCGAAGGGCCTGTACTGCGCTGTAATGTTCTATGTTCTAATTGTGTTCTGATGAACAAGTAAAGCATCAGTCATCTATATTTAGGTTAAAACAAGGGAATCTCCTGTGAATATTCAATGATTAATCAAATAATTGGATCTGTAATATTAAATACCTCCTGACTACTGAAGGACGTTGGCCCACCTTTAGTGTGCAATAATTTGATCATGCTAACTGGAATAACTATCACTATATCACTGCACATTGTCAAACATGCTCTGACATGTACTACTAGAGAACGTGTTGGCAGTTCCCAAACTCTCATCTGTCTTTTATACCTGACTTTGAATTGTTCCAAGTAGGTTTATGTTTCAGATACAGCTCTTTAAAACAAAATCAAAAATGGTGCCTTCTGTGACAATGACAGTGTGTATTTACTCCTCCTCTTTCATCAGTTTGTAAACCTTGACAGTCATAGGATAGTTCAGCACTGAGGGAACCTCCATGGCCTTTTCATGCCTGCACTTCCAAAAAGCAATCGATCTTCCTCCCTCACCACTCTTGTTCTTATCTCCCTGAAATTATGTTTCCTTATGTATTTATCCAACTTCCTTTTGAATTTGTATCCATCACTTCATCAAGACAGTGCATTTCAAATCTTCTCCATTTATTGTTTGAGCCATTCTTTTTTTAATGTCATGTCTGTTTCTTTTACCAATCACCTTAAATCTGTACCCTCTTGTTAGCAGACTTTAAACTACTGAAAATCATTTATCATTCATAGAATCCCTACAGTGTGGAAACAGGCCCTTCGGCCCAACAAGTCCACACCGACCCTTGGAGCATCCCACCCAGACCAAAGCTACACATCCCTGAGCACTACGGGCAATTTAGCATGGCCAATCCGCCTAACCTGCACATTTTTTGGACTGTGGGAGGAAACCGGAGCACCCGGAGGAAACCCACGGAGACATGGGGAGAATGTGCAAACTCCGCACAGACAGTCGCCCGAGGGTGGAATTGAACCTGGGTCCCTGGTGCTGTGAGGCAACAGTGCTAACCACTGAGCCACCGTGCAGCCCTAATTATTTACTCTCCTTAAATCCTTACGACTGAGATGAGAAATTCCATCGTTGTGAAATACTGATAATACCCAGAGCACTGTGGATACTCCATCTTTGATAATTTTCAAGATTTCAGTTTGATAGCTTTGTGGGTAAGAGGTGTTGTGGTGCTGTGAGTTCCCTGCCTCTGAGCTAGAGGCTTTGACTTCAAGTCCCACTCTAGTACTTGATAGACAAACAGATTTGAGTATAAAATTCTAGATCCTTCCAACATAGACCAGTGGCAGTGATAAGAACGGGAACAAGTCCTCATCAGCCATCTGCAGAAGGCAATGGTAAACCACTGCAGTACCTTGCAGAAGAAGATTGAACGAACACAGAAGTCCATGGTTGCCAACTCTTTTCCAGCATGGTACCTGAAGAGAGAGAATTGTGGATCTTAAGGAAATTGAGAATAGGGTAGAAATGTGAAGATAAGACAGAGATCAGACATGATTTTTATTTAATGAGGGAACAGTCTCAGGTAGTCTTATGACCTGTTCTATTTTCTTTTATTCATGTTAAATATCTGGTACAGGGCAATCAGTAACATTTGTCATTCGGTTTAGCAAGGGATGATTATTTGCCACTGTCAAGATGGACATACTAACAGTAGCTACAATTTACATAATTAAAGAATACAGGAAAACTTGGACCAAACACACTTTTGTAAATTGTTACGAGATATACCATGGTATTGGTATAGCCAGTTACATAGATGGTTGATGATTACATAACAGTCTGAGTTGGGGGAAGAAAAGAGGAAGAGACTTGTACACAGGTGAGGTTTGTTTATTGAGAATGTTGGTTTTGATTGTAAAGCTTGATACTAACAGTTAATGGTTTTCAACAAAAGCAACCTATTGTCAGATCTTTAACTAGTTTGAAACAAGTTACAAGGGAATACTGAAATTTTTATATAGAAATGAAATTTATTGCTATATTAAATATATATTAACACTTAAACACCTGAAGTACGTCTCTCCACAAAGCAGCCTTAACATATGTAAATTGACAATTTAGCCCCATTCAAATGTGCGAGGAGCATGTTTTGGAAGATTCACAATTTTTATATCATGCCTCAGACAAAGTAATGAAAAGGTTTATATTACATATACGGTTATACTTTTTGTTGAGCTCGTCGAACTTTGTCTTGGTCTTAACCAGCTTGATATTGCCTTTTACCCAGTCTGTCATCCAGTAGCTCTTGAGGATCTGCCGTCTTGTAGATGGACAACTCATGGGTTGTCAGTCCTTTCTGTATAATTGATCTTGAGCTGCCGTCCCCTGTATTCATATTCCAGACAGCATACCTTGTCGAAGTAGACAGTCGGGTGGTCATTGATGTTCTTTTGCTTATCCTTGAATCCATGTAATCTGGGTACAGCTCAGAGGTGTTTAACTGAAACAGTTCACATGCTGACAAATACTTTGGATCCTTGATTTTCTTGATTTGTCTGTTCATGAACTAGTTTTGAGTGTGTAGAACACAATTACATAAAACACTGTAAGTTACTTAAGTATTCTAAATTGTCAAGATAGTGATTGACCTCGTGAGAAGTGTGAAATGATACATTTTGCGAGGAAGGAGGAAGGCAATATCAACCAAAGGATGAATTTCTAAGCGGGGTGCAGGATCAGGGGATCTGGTCTTGGTATAATATATTTGCACAGAGATATTTGAAAGTGGTTGAACAAATATGTGCAATCCTGGGCATTTTGAATAGGGACAAAGTGGAAAAAAAAACACGTGATTTCTGATTAATGTTTATAATATTCTAGTTCAGACTAATTCTTGGCACTACACTTTAAAACAGGGTGTAAAGACATAAGAGAGAAGGTGAAGAAAAGAGAGGTGATGGATTTCAGTTAAGTGGATAGTTCGGAGAAGCTGGAATTCTGTCCTCAACTAAAGGAAGGTTAAATGAAGATTTGATAGTGGTGTTCAAAATCATTAGATGGTTTGTGAGAGTAGATGGAAAATATCTCTTTCCATTGGTGGAAGGATTGAGAACCTGAGTGAACAGGTTTAAGGCAATTGACCCAAAAGAGCAATAGCAATACAAGGTAAAATGTAATATGTGACCGGCTTTAGGAACTGAAATGCATTGTCTGACAGTATGGTAGAATAAAATTCAGTTACGCTTTTCGAAAGGGAATTGGATAAAAAGGAAAGGTGGAGAAGTGAGACTGGCTGGCTGAGCTAGAGAAAGAACCATGGTGAAAACTATGGCTGCCATCTGCAACCATTCTAGGCTTTCCCCTACAACTGGCTGGTAATTACCTTGTTAATTGATCCATCTCAAACTAATCCACTAATTTGTATTGTCAAATCCCTTCTTCCAATGTTGATCACACCATCCTTTTCCACTGCCAGTGCTGTTCAGATTGATCTGATGTTCTTAGTATCTCCATTGCTTTATGCCCTGTACTGTTCGCCTCCAGATATGACTCCTCTTCCTCATCTACATACTGCTGCTTGACAAGATTATCTGCAAGTATGAGATAATGACACCCAACTTTATGTCTACCACCTCTCTTGACTCCTCTGTTGCCTATTTGCAAATCTTTGAAAGATAATTTGAATAAACTCTCAAGCACCTTTCCAAGTTTATCACAATCCAGTCAATCAATTCGGATTCGAGTACAGCCAGTATGGTATTTTATTTGGAGCTTAATGTTATATCATGTCCTAATTGTTCAGTCAAAAATCCAAAGCTGGTAACTAGTGAATACCAGTCCATGTCGGGCAGGGTGCTGACTTAGACAAAAAGCTCTAACTTATCATACTTCTCAGTGCCCAGGTCTCCTCAACCACTTTAATTCCCAAATGAGTATTTGACTGGAACTTTCCCTTAGAGTCCTTGTCCACCACCACCTGTTCTGAGCTTCCAGCTCTTTCTTGCCATTTGCCAGTGTTTCCCAAACTCTTTACCCAGCATGACTTCCTGTGACCCCAGAATGAGTTATGGGTGTTTAGTGCTGAACATAAAATAAATTACCAGAATTCATTTCTTATTTTTGTGACATGACTTTCTTATTTTTGACTGCTACATTTCAAGCAATATTTTACAACCTTCTTTAAGTTTTCTTCAAAAACTATTGCCCTGTTTAACTGAATAATGACATCTGTTTATGTTCAATTTCTCTCATGATAAAGGCTAGCATTCTATTAGTTGCTGTACCTGCAGGGTAATATTTTGAAACTCATAAGCTAGATCACGCAGATCACACTGCATTGCATTTGTTAATTTGAACAAAGTGTTTGGCTCCATAAATCACGAGGCGCTGTGGATTGTGCTTCAAAGATTTAGATGTCCAAGAAACCTGGTTACAATCCTGCATTTGTTTCATAATAATATGACTGCAACTCTCCCAAGCAGGAGATCTGAAATAGAGACCTTAGAAATCTGGATTGTTGTCAAGCAAAGCTGTGAGTTAACATTTATACTATTTACAATCTACTTGACAATTGCTGTTCACCTCACCAAGGATCAGTTGCCTTCTGGTGTCAGCATTAAACACAGTCTAGATGGAAAACAGTCTAACCTTAATGTCAAAACTAAAATTACCACCATTGATATACATAATCAACAGTTTGGGGATGACTGAAGTGTCATTGTCCACTCTAGCAGATTTGCAAACTGCTGGCAATCTTTTTAAACCTTATAAGAAATCAGCTGATTCTCAAAAGTTAGCAAAACAAAATTCATACCTCCCAGTTCATACCTGGGATTTTCCTGGATGCATGCTCATTACTCATTGGGTAAGCTCTCTTCTGGGATTATTATGATTTATTTAATGTAAGTTAGTTTGCTGACTGGGTAGCTGAGATTTTGGCTTCCAAAGAATTTTGTTTTTAAATTCACTCGATACTAATGTATTAATATGTAAGATGTTGGATCTACATTAAACAGGAACTTCTAACTTTTCTTTTTAGGGCAACTTGTCAGTAACTAATTTTTTTTTCAATATTATGTGTTTTTACATAAAATTGGGCCTCGTAAGTGGGATTGAGGATTTTTTTTTAATGGACGGAAAGTGATAAACAGTTAATTTTCAAGTTGGCAGGTTGTAGCTAGCAGAGGATCAGTACTTGGACCTTGGCTAGTTACAATCTAACATCAGTGGCTTGGAGGAGGCCAGATATTATATGTTCAAGCTTGTTGATGATACAAGACTAAAGGGGAAAGCCGCAAAGGGATTGATTTGGAATTTGGGGAAATGGGCAATTATCCTCTTGGGTAGGAAGAATAAAAATGCAGAATGAAAAAAATTGTATTTATAAAAGTTGTGACCGTCAATCAAGATGATCAGTCATATTGAATGTCTAAGAAGATTTGAGGGCCTTATGGCCTACTCATTTAATTTGCAGATTTTTCCACAGAATGGGGTTAGTGTTGATCAGTGGCACATTAGTTACTGATTTTTCATCAGTTTTGTGAATCTGAAACAAAAACAGAAATTACTGGAGAAAGGCAGCAGGTCTAGCAGCATCAATTTTTGGGTCAACGTTTGAGTTTCTCCAGCAATTTCTGTTTTTGTTTCAGATTTCCAGCATCTTCAGCTATTGATTTTATTTGTTTAGAAATCACTGGCTACACCTCAGCTGGAGTATTGTCTGCCTTTCTGTTCAGCACATTTAGGAAGGCTGTCAGAACCCTGGAGAGAATGGACTGAGGGCTTATTGTAATGACAACCAAGGATGAGGGAATTCAGTTATCTGGAGAGTTGAAGAAGCTGGGAATATTTCTTTGCAGTCGAGAAAGTGGAGAGGAGGTTTGAAAGAGGTTTTGATAGAGGAACATTTCCTCTGGCAAATGGGCTGGTCACCAAAGATTGTAGATTTAAAATAATTGGCAAAAGAGGTAAAGAAGATATGGGAAATTTCTTCACACAGTTCTTGAGATATGAAAGTGGTGGAATTGGATTCCGTATAACTTGCAAAAGATGAATTAAAAGGTATATGAAGAAGAATCGTGCACAATTCTTTGAAAAAACACACACTTATTATGGGCTGAATAGCCTTCTTATAATGTTATGATTAACTGAACATGAATCTCTCATGTTTATTTTGAAATCGTAGATACTCTGAAAATCCACATACATAAACTGACATATTTTCTGCTTAGTTTTGCAGTGGTTCATGGGACAAGATGATAAAGATATGGTCTGCAGGTAATGGAAAATATTGTCACAAAATCTCATGTCTGAATTCCAACTTCTGGACTGCCACTTATTTTATTTTTTTCATTAGCCCTTGATTAATTGCAAGGTCCAAATTGTCATCAATAGTTTATCTTAAAATGTACAACTTCCATTATTAGAACGGGTCAAATGCTAGGTTTGCTTCAATGTTTTTGCTTTTTTCCTGTGGAATTCATATTTTACAGTCTCGTTATTTCTCTGGTGATCTTTCCTACCTTCCACCTTGAGGGACATGTGGTAATTGATGGGTGACATGTTTATGTATCATTGCCTGTGTCACTTAGACTTGCTGTCATAAAGCCCATGATGACTTTTTCATTTGGTTTCTGCTGTTTTAATTTGCTGTCACACCCAAGGTTAAGAATTTACCATGAGAGAGAGTTGCATGTATAACTTACTATTCTGCCAGTGCGCTGTGCTATCCTTTACTTCCTCAACAGCCTAAGGTTTAAATTTTTTTCTTTAATATTATTAGTTCCCAATGAGGATGAAGAAATGGTGGACGAATCTGAATCCAGACCAAGAAAGAAACAGAAGACTGAACAACTAGGATTAACCAGAGTAAGCTGCTCCGCTAATAATGTAACTTCTCAAGTTGGGAAGGAAAGGAAAGGGAAATAGGTCTTCATCATTCCTTATCTGAGATTTAAAAGCATTAGTTAGACTGATATGGAAGCTGAAATATTCCACTAAGGGTTTCTGTCTAGAGTTCCTTATTTTAGTCATGTTGCTAGGAGGACTTGACAGGTCTTGGGCAAGGTTTCCATGGCACTGGAAAGCTTATGTTGGCACAACCGGCAATAGATTTCCTTGTATTTTTCACGTAATAATTCCTACACATTCAAACTCTACAGTGTAACGAATGGTTTATGTTCATCGTGAAAGTGTTAACATTTGGAAATCACAAGCAATTTGGTTGCATTTTCTGTCCCACATTTCCTAATCAGCTAGATAGTTATACAGCATGAGCTTCTGTGATCGTTGATCAAAAAGCAAATCGTTGATCAAAAATTGTATTTTCCTAAATAAGTATATGGAATCTATAATGATTTTTAAGAGATGGCTGAGTTTTAAGTTTCTTGGCCCTTATGATGCAATGACTGTTCACCTGGAAGTTGTACCAATCGGAAGGAAATTAACCAATGAAAGCAGACACAACTGCTGAGGGGAAGGTTGAGAAAAACTCATTTGCAAGGAGCCATGTGTGAAAGTAAAAGAAAGCAGAAAGCTGAAGACTGAGTTAGAACGGGGATTGTGAATTACACAGGTTTACTTCTGACCAGACAATTTGTGTTTTTTTTTAAGCGATAGCATAAAGGAGTTTATGAACGAGTGGAGTGTTTGAGTGATAACTGTCTCCAGTGACCTAAGTTGGGGTACAGAGTGAGGCCATTTGGCCCGTCATGCCTGCTGGTGAACGCATATTGAGGGGTGATTTGATAGAGTGGGAAGGACAGTGGCTCATGGCCACTGTCTGTGTGGCTTTCCTCCCATAGTCCAAAGATGTGCAGATTAGGTGGATTGACCATGGGAAATGTAGGATTACAGGGATAGGAAGGGTCAGTGTGGACTCAATGGGCCAAATGGCCTGTTTCCACACTGTAGGGATTCTGTGATTTCCCCTGTAGCAGAGGCCAAGTTGGAGAACTTTGAAACTGCAAATGATGTTGTCCCATCTGTAAAATCATGTAGGTGCTTATAGTTGTACTGATTAAAATAAGTGAAATTTATCTTTTCATTTGCATTTGAGGTTGTTTGATAAACTTGGTTATTTTAGATGACTAAAAGCTGGTATTGAAGTGGATTTAGTTGGTAAATTTTAATCTTATAACTTTAGTACTAATTTCAGACATGGGGCAAAATTGCTCACTATATATTAAGGTGACAAACGCTAAGTTTAATTTTATACTTCCTTGTCATTTCATCTTGATGTATTGAGAAACAAAACTTTCCACGGGTTTTTTTTGATTCATTGGCACTTTTACTTTTAATCTTAATCACATCTGTGAAGTAGAAATTTTCTGCTCGTTTTACACTGAAAATAGTAATCAACTATGGTTGACTATCAACAAGCTTTCTCGCATCCATGCTTGCTGCTAATCAGTTTTATTTAAAGTAGTTCCTTGAGGAAAATGAAAGAAAGGCAGAATTGGCACTTTAAGCTCACTTCTGATTAAAGTGGACTGTTAAGAATTTGACTCAAGCTGGGACGAGCTTTTGGAGATTTTCAAAGCCTTCAGTAACTGAATTTTTGGATTTCCTGAGAACGCAGGGCAGTATCCTTTTTGAAGTTATGTTTATGTAAAAATTCAACACTTGATTATTTAGATGAAACTTGTTACCCAATGATCTATTATTAGGAGTCACCACCATTAACTTTGATATTCTTTCCCACAGACTCCTATGATGACACTGTCTGGTCACAATGAAGCAGTTTCCTCCGTCTTGTGGTCTGATACAGAGGAACTCTGTAGTGCATCCTGGGATCACACACTCAAAATTTGGGATGCTGAAACTGGAGCCCAGAAATGTACCTTGGTGAGTTGGTAGAGATACATGGCAGCTTCCATTCAGGATCAAATGTTTACTATAGATCACAGTGGAATAAGCACTCACATTATTCCCACAACTTACCTGTATGAGGGACCTAGATAATTGGGTAGGATCGATGTTGGCTGCAGCTGCTGATCTTGTACATTAAGTCTGTTGGAGCCATGTGTGTGTATTTATTTCTGCCCTTTACTGTTATCTCTTTGTGAATTGTGACAATTTTGGCTGCTATGAATTTTGTTCTAAATAACACAGTCTACTGAATCTTTGTAACACCACTTCGTTTTTTTTTTCCATTTTAAGTCAGTACCTAGAATGAGTGTTATAGCTTAACTTTTAATGTTTTGATAGATATTGCACATGTATTCCTTTTTGTTCTGTGTTTTTTTCTCATTTCCACTCACTCTTACGTAGTGCTCCTATTTCTGCACCAGGAGACCCACCTGCTCTAGATAACTTCTCTGACCAGATTGACTAGAAAATATAGCAGTCTCATCACATCTTATATTTGAAGCTAATTTTTTCCTTGAGGTGACTTTAGTTGTTTCTGTGCTTTCTGAAACAAGATTTCCATTTCCTTTACTTGTCTTTTTTCACACCCCTCCAGAACGGGAATAAGGTGTTTAATTGCATCTCTTATTCCCCATTGTGCAAAAGGCTGGCTTCGGGCAGCACTGACAGGCACATCAGGCTGTGGGATCCACGTTCAAAAGGTAATTTCAGAATATTTTGTGCTTTCTCCTACAAGATCATGACTGTTTTGCCATTCTGTGAACACATTGTGTGTTCCTTATGTAGAGTGAAAATTATAATTGAGTTTTCAGTCAAGTTTGGACGTAGCATAATTTTAGGATTGATTTCTGTGTACACCCTCCAATGCCAGTAAATCATTTCTTAGAAAATGGAGACTGCAACTGCAAAAAGTATTCCAGACATAGTCCTTTGTTCCT